GTAGGTGCTTTAGACCACTGAGCCATCTCACCAGCCCCAGAAGTTAAATTTTAGAAAGTGTACTGAATTTGTAAGAAATGCAGTCTTTTGGTTCTACTTTCATAGCACAGTATCAACATGTAAAAGAGAATTTTACCTAAAATTACACATTTAGTTATAGAGGAAGTGATCCACTCTATCAGTTTTGTTTTTAAGCTATAACTGATGTAATCAATTATTATAGATTATTATTACTAAAGATGAACTACTGAAATTTGCAAGTGGTTTTTAAAAACAAATTCAGATTGATTTAATGACTTTTGTGATAACACTAACTGTGTTAGTCCTGTTGGATTGCTATAACCGATTTATAGCAGTAAATCATAGACAAGGTGATTTTGAAACAATAGGACTTTCTCATAGTTCTGAGAACTGAAAAGTCCATGGCCAAGGCCATTAGGTTTCCCATCTTGTGAGGACCCTCATCCTGCACCACAGTGTATTTACTGCTAGCACACGGTGTTCTCAAGTCTCCTTATAAGGTCCTACTTCCATTCTAGAAACTTTTGCCTGCATGCCCAGATGAACTTCCAGAGGCCTCACCTCCCAATACCATCACCATGAGTATTAGGATTTCACCTTAGAAATTTCAGGGGGACAAATACTCAGGCCATAGCATTTATACTTGAATATGTTTTCTTAAGTGAGGAAAAATAAATGCAAAGTTTGTACTCTTTAACTGGAAATTGCATAAAATCTTGGTCATGTGTTGTTGATAATAAAATATCCAGCAAATACTTGCCAGCCTTCGTGCAGTAGGCTCTGGGGACACAGTAGTAAAATGAGCATGGTGTGCACCTGGGAGCATTCTTGTGAGTGCTCTGTGCTACAAATGGCATTCTTTCTCATATGTGTTTTGTTAAGAGCAAAAACCCTTGTTAATGTGTACTAAAAAGAACAGGGGTTTAAATTAAAAGCTCCCTTTACATGTATTCTGGAGCCTCTGGACGACCTGAAGCTGACAAGGTTTAGGCATATGAGCCTCTTTTAGATAAGAATGTTCAGCTTTTATTAGGTTTTCTGGATTCATTAGCTTTCAAATAGATAGAAAACTAGTAGCTCTTGATCTACTCTTGCACTCACTCTTACTTGTATTAAAGGCATATTCATTGGGTCCTTTACTGGGTTGTTAGAGGAGTCCATTCTGGTAATAAGTTAGATACATAGAGGAAAGATTTATAGAAATAAAAGCTTATAGGAGTTTTTGTTGTTGTTTGTTTGTTTTCTGAGACAGGATCTTGCTGTGTAATCCAGTCTGGCCTCAAATTCAGGCAATCCTCCTGCTTCATCCTCCCAAGTGCTGGGATTACAGGGATGCACCATCATGCCCAGCTCTATGACTTTTTATTACAGTAAACTGTTCTTTTTGTTCATCATAGTGATCCAAACTGGTGGAAAGGTGAAACCCATCAAGGCATCGGGTTATTTCCCTCTAATTTTGTGACTGCAGATCTCACTGCTGAACCAGAAATGAGTAAGTATTTTTCAGTATGTTGATAGGTAACCCGTAAACTTCTACTTTCTGAAGCAGTGACACACAGATGCTAGTACCTCCAAGGTGGCTCAAGTACAAATCTATTATGTGTTACAGAATTATTAGAGGTTTGTTTTTTTTTTTTTTTTTTTTTTAAATTGCGGATAGAAGTGTAATGAATGCACTGTGATCTCAGAGGTTTCTTCTTTTTTTTTTTCTCAATAGGTCAGGGCAACTTTCTAGTGTCTCACCTTTTATTTGATAGCAGCAGGCTCAAAGCATTGTAATGGTCCTCAGCGATCATGTCTGATGTATAGAAGGAGTCATAACAGCTGATGTTTAATTATAGGATTTTTTGTTTGATTTCTAAACTTTTATTGATGAGGAATGAACTAAATATAAAAGGTTTATTTCTAGGAAAGTTCATTTCCAGAAGTGGAGGAAAATTGGAAAACTGATATTAATGGCATTCATGGTAACTGCAGGAGGTGTAACTTACTGTGTTCTCTTAAAGCATTGGGAGATAGTTAACTGCACCTAAGTGAATCTTCACAGTGGTGAGCTTTGAGTTATCAAAAAGATTTAAGTCATAATCTTTTTCTATCTAAGTAAACAGAAAAGCTTGTAGCAGCCTAGAAAGATTTATATTACTAATGGAAAGGCTTCAGATTTTCAAGGTTTTATGTATGTCGGTAGGTTGCAGTTCCATGGCAGAGTGTCTGATTTCATCTTTATGTACTGTAAAATAGATGAGATCAAAAGAAAGTTACAAACCGCAAGATAATTGGTTCTTACTTAGTTCCCAAGAATTTGAAGAGAGGCTTTTTCCTTGGCTCTCTTTTCCCACATGATTTAGTAATGTACTACCTAAGTACTTACTGGAAGAATGATACATACTATGTGTCGGCAGTGAAGGGGCTTCACTTCTCTGTGAAGAGAAGGCATTAACAAGCCAGAAATTAGAGATCTTTAGTAAAGCACTGTCTTCTCACAGTTATAGCCACTGTCTTTATGTTACCTTTATAGAAACAGGTTCCTGATATCCATACTTTTTACCAAGGTCTTTTTTTAGAACACAGAAATATGCATAACCTTGTTTAAATGGCACTGTATAATATGCTTTGTGTGTGTTGGGTGGGTGGAGTAATTGGGAGTCACTTACAAGGCCTTTACCTTTAAGCTGTATCCCTAGCCCTTTAATTTTTTTTTTTTAATCTTGACATCTTGCTATGCCACTATGTTGTCCAGGCTGTGTTTGCCTCAGCCTCCTAGAGTGCTGAGATTAAGAGGTGTGCAGCACCATGCCCTGTGGAGGATTTTAGTTCCTGTCCTATCCTGTCCTGTCTTGTTCATGTACTGTGGAATGAATCCAGGACCCTGCAAATGCTAGGAAGTGCTTACCACTGAGTTCTATCTCCTGTACTGCACTAGCTTTTTAAATTATCAGACTGTGATAGTGATGTATGCGTTTGTGCATGTGTGTGGCTTTCTTTCATCCTTGAATCAGCTTTTGGGAAGTTTAGAATTGTCTTGGACAAAAGGTCTGCTAAAGATAAGATCTGGGTCTCATGGAGGGCACGTAGCCATTGTATCTCTTTTTCTGCAAATGACAGTGCAGCTTTAATGTAAGTCTACTAGTCATGTGTTTCACACTGGACAATCTAAAAGAGAAGCAAGAGGAGCAGAGATTAACTAATGCAGCTGTGTTTCTCAAGCTTGGAAAATGAATGCAATATGATCTCCTCATGTTATTCTTTTAGAGGGAATAGAAGCCCACTTCATTTAACCTGTCAAGTAGGAATGTCTACCCTAACTTGTTTTGGAGATAAGATATTATAAAAAACCATATTTTTATTTATTTATTTATTTTTTTGCGGAACCAGGGATTGAACTCACGGCCTTGCGCTTGCCAGGGAAGAGCTTATTTCACTGAGCCAACTCCCCGACCCCAAAAAACCGTGTTTTTAAAGATATTATAAAAACCATTATCATCTATGTCTCTGTCTCTGTCTCTGTCTCTGTCTCTCTCTCTCTCTCTCTCTCTCTCTCTCTATCTATCTATACACACACACACACACACACACACACACATCCAGTTATTTTATATACTGTGTACACATACATTAGTTGATATAAGAAAAAACTCTAATATTCAAATCATCAGCTATATGAAATCTGCCATGTCTACTTATTGGTAACAGTCATAAAACACAAAATTACCTGTAGCAGATGGCATTTTCCTGAGATGGGCAAATGAATCAGTTGAAACTTTTTGTGTAGAATGTTTTGTTTTATGCTGACTCAAATGGCATTTATATAGTTCCTATGTTGGAAATTAAACCACTGCTGTTTATGTGGAAGTAGACAACATTAAGTACTTACATGACAGGACTTCTGTGCTCAGAGTAAAATCACAGGCCAGGTTGTAGGAGGGGTTTGCAGTAGAGCATAGCAGATTGGATTCAAATTCAGGCTTTACTGTTTATGAGTTTTCTCTTGTGAAAGCATTTTTAATCTTTGTTATCCACCTTATGAAATGGTGATATCAGGTCAAATTTATTTTGAGATTCTTTTGTAGAATGGAATTTTTTTTTTTATTATTCTTCAAACACAATGATAGTGTAGTAAATACCTCTCTTCACTGATTCTGCCACTGACATTTCCCCTTCTGCTTTGATTCATGGTATTTTTATGAATTCTGATTGATCTCATAGAGGAAAGAAAAAATACAAAAAGTGAGTTCAGTCCTTTAGAACTGCTTGTGCTTACTATTATCGGGAAGCTCCTTATTAATAACCTTACATTTACTAGTTATATAAAATGGTTTTGAAAAATTGCATTAGTAAACAAGAGTTGTGCTTCTATCCATTGGTTTGCCATTCTCTTAATAACTCCTTTGTCATTTCAAAGTCTAACATAGCTGGAAAATCCAGACCGACATGGGGGATTAGGCAACTTAGGGCCCAGCAGACCATTTGGCAACTTAGGGCCCAGCAGACCATTTGCAGGGTTATTTGCAGGTGACATCACTGTGTTGGTGCCATCCCTGCAAGTGGTAGCATGCCAAAGAGCAGAGAGCTGATTTTCAATTTGCTATACAGAAATATGGTGGTATTTCTATCAAATGAGATGTATATAATACACTGATAATTTAAGAAGAGAATTAGTTTTAAAGTACAGAGTTGAAGGCCAGTAAGATAGCTCAGCAGAATAAGCGCCTCCTTAGCCAAGGTCAGGGATTAGGGTTTAATCCCCATGCCACATTCCCCCAGGATGCACTGAGCTGGTGATGGAGTCTGGGCGTGGTGGTACACACCTGTTGTTCCAGCTGCTAGGGAGGCTGAAAACAGGAGGATCATTATGAGTAAACTGCGTAATGAGACCCTGTACCCCCCAAAAAAGAAAAAAAAAGTACAGAGTTCACTTAATACTATTGTATAGCTGTTTTTTTCCTTATCAATATACTGAACTCTTATATACTTGGTGATTAATTTTTGTTTTAGAAGCATAACTTTTCACTGAAGTCTTTTATGGAATCCATAAAGTTTTTACAGGAAAAATTAAGAAATTTTGACAAAATTTTACTAATTTTCTTAGCACGTGTTCTGTTAGCAGCCTAATGCTGTATATTGAGTCTCTGTTCAAGGGAAGAAAATGAAAAAATAAATCTTAAATTTTATCTTAGATTTCCAACTTAGCATTTGAAATAAGTTTTATATTTATTATAAGGAAAAGGTAATTTTTACATGTTTTACAGTTAAAACAGAGAAGAAGACAGTACAATTTAGTGATGATGTTCAGGTAGAGACAATAGAACCCGAGCCGGAACCAGCTTTTATTGATGAAGTAAGTAATTTCCTTGGTGATCATGGTTTACTTTGTGTTTAAGTTGCAATGTCTGTGATTTCTTTTAAAACAGTTACTTGAAAAAAAAAAAAAAAAACAAAAACAAAACAACAGTTACTTGAGTAATCCTGTATTTTTCTTATTATAAAAACTCAGACAATACAAAGTGTTCCTGACACTTCCGCAGTCCCATTCTGACCCTGTCAAGACCTCCTGTGCAGGGCTGGGGGTGTGGTTTGGCAGTAGAGTGCTTGCTTCACAGATGTAAGGCTTCCACCTGTCCCCAGAACTAGGCAAACATTCCTGCCTAGTACTTCACAGAATGCACTCATGGTTTAATTACTGTCTTATACTTGTGGATGTTTCCAGTTTTTACTGCGACTGTATTGTAAACATTATCATAGAGAGACTTTTTGCACTTATACCTGTTTCTTTAGATATCCAGAAATGGAACTGTCAAGTTGATGGATCTTTATGTTTTCTATGTTAACAGATACTGCCAAAATTATATAAAGTGGGATTTTTACACTCACATTAATATTTTGAAAGTACCTGTTTCCCCTTGTACTTTAGAATTATTTGCTCATTACTGAGAAAGAGATGCTATTGACTATCTGTTCTGTGAATAAAACAAATTGCTGTTTCTTCAAATTAAGCTGCCACTAAATTACTGCTACGTAAAACATTTCATGGGACTGAATCATGATTCCTCCTTGGGTGGAACGCTTTCGGGTACCTGGGAAAAACTTATGCTAATTTCATGTTAATGTCTCCATATGTCATTGTCACATCTAAATGCATGTTTTCAGTGATAATGTTTGAAAATACATTGTCAATTTAATGGCAGGTTAGTGCCTAATCTTTGGAGCTAGATAGTAATACTGAAACTTAGATATCATTATGACTTAAACTTCAGGTTTTCTTGAATTAATATATCCTATTACCAAAACTTTATTAAAACCTCTGCTATTATTACATATAAGGAAATGAAGATTAAACTGATTACTTTTTCTTGATTTTAAGCATGCTTTTGTTATTTTCCTTTCGTTATTCAGACTTACTAGT